AAGATATTACAAAATAATAATTTATAAATTATCAAGGGTTCATGAGGGAGTGGGGAGTGAGGAGGGAGGGGGGGAAATGAGGAGCTGATGCCAGGGGCTTACGTGGAGAGCAAATGTTTTGAGATTGATGAGGGTAATGAATGTACAAATGTGCTTTACACAATTGATGTATGTATGGATTATGAGGCCCCAATAAAATATTTTTTTTTAAAGAAAAGAAAATGTAAGCTGTAAAAAAACTAGAAAACTCACTGCCAAATGAAGTTGATTGCAACTCAGGGCCCTACAAGACAGAGTGGAACTGCCTCTTACTGGCTTCCAAAGCTGGGCAGAGACCCTCATTTTTCTCCTGCAGAGCTGCCGGTGGGTTTGAACCTCTGACCTTGTGATTAGCGGCCCCAAATGGGAGAAGGGAAGGGAAAAACACAACTTTTACAACAAGGTTTCTCTTCCGAGTGATTTTCAAATTAAGTTAGGAAAGGTTTTAGGGTTTATGCTCCATGTTGGGGAGCCCTTGAGCGGTTACCAGTATTGCCATGACGAAAACAAGTATAAATTATCCTTAATCCTCAAAGGAAAGTAAATGTACAAAAAGAGCGATGGAACAGATGTACTTATGTGTTGGATACAATTGATGTATGATGGTAACAAGAGTTGTAAGAGGCCCCAATAAAATGCTTTAAAAATAAATAAATAAAAATTAAAAATTAAATAAATTTTAAAAATTTAAAAAATGTAAAAAAGGCACAAAGGAAAGTGCACTATGAAAGTAAGGTACTAGTTACTTTCAGCGGGGGTACAAAGTCATTTAGATAAAGGGGGACACTAGCAGTTTTAACCTTTGATGTGGGCATGGAGTCAAAAGAACATTCATTAGGCATAATGATTTGTTATAAAAAAAGTCTTAATACAGGGGTAGACAAGGATGCATACTTATGCAAATTAATGAAGAGGAGAGATCCATACAAAAATTGTCCTTAATCCAAAATAGAATGAGGATTGACAGGACGAGAGAAGATGTTGCGGGCCTTAAAAGGGACTGCTGCCCTTTCTCCCATGGGAAAGCTGGACACGTTTCATTAGCAGGTAGAGATGGACGAGAAGTGACGTCCCAGCACAAGGAACAGTGTAAGCAAAGGAAAACCCCAGAAACACTCAAAGAACAGCGCGCATTCCAGGTAAACTGAACAGTTACAAGCAAAGTATTGAATGCCGGGTTAATAAATGAAGACTGAATTTAGTTGAGAATCGATGAATGACCATTCAATGATTCTGGGTGGGTGTGTAATTGATTGGATTGTAGAAAGACAGGCCCCAAGCCCAACCCAACCCACTACCATCAAGTTAATTCCAACTCATAGCCACCCTGTGGAACAGAACAGAACTGCCCCCTTTGGGTTATCGAAGCTATAAGCCTTTATGGGAGCAGAAAGCCTCAACTTTCTTCAAAAGGAGAGACTGGTGGGCCCGAACTGTTGAACTTGTGGATGGCAGCCCCACATGGAACCCACTAAGACTCGGTGTGGAAAGAAAAGGAGAGACAATTTAGTTTATTTTTCTAAAAAAGGGTAGGGCATCTGACAAGAGTGGTTTGAAGAAAGAACGTCAACAACGGCCTATTGAACGTTGGGGGGAAAGAATGGGGAGATTTAACTCCAAACATCAGCAGACAAGGAAGCAAACTAATTAAAAGGATGCTTTATAGGACAAGATAATTTGAGTATCTTGATTTACAGATTATTACTTTTCTATCTTGACTAAAAAGGAGACAAACACACAAAGGCACAAACAAAAGCCATAACACACCACACACACGTAAGCCTTGGTAAATTCAAGCTAGAAGTAGCAGGTAAAATTAAAACTATCCATATACTTACGCTGCAAAACTAGAAATACAATTTGTGTTTTACTGCACTTGAGTCACACAAATCAGAGTCTACAGTACAGATGATGACATTTGACAACAATGTATGAATACCGCTCAGCACAATGTATTATTAATATGAAAGTTATGTGCCAACATCGTGTCACAGCTATGGGAGAAAAATGTGTCCCGAGACAATGCTTGTTGCTTCTCTTTGTAATTCGTTGTTTTATACAGAGTTTAGTGACCTTTTGGAAATTGTAACCATCTGAGAGAATTTACTTTGGAATCTATACATTTCAGGGGGGTTCTTATCTCTAAAACTAGTATGAAGGATAACGCACTGACACTGGGTTGGTTCTGACCTGCAGCAACCCTCTGGGGCAGGGCAGAAGTGCCCTGTGAGTTCCCGAGCCCCTGACACTTTCTGGGATAGAAAGCATAGCCTTTCTCGGGGGAGGGACTGGTGGTTATCAAACTGCTGACCTTGCAGTTAGCAGCCCAACGGGTCACCCCATACAGCCCCAGGGCTCCAACATGCAAACTAGAATTGGGAAAAAGAAATAATAACAACATAGGAGAACCAGGCTAGATGTTTTGAAATATTCCGAATGCTAGAAGGGTCCCCAATTCACACAGTAACACTTCCAGCTGCATCCATGTGGCACCAAAGAGGAAGTCCTGGCTTTGTGGTAGCATCCACACAAGCACTTGGTGATCGCCAATGACAATTATACCCACACCATCTTCCTAATGCTATCACCCTAATGATTTTCCCTTTAGGAAATCATCCTGTCAGATGCTATGCAATTATTTGGTACATAGGTTTCTTAGGATACTACCCAAATGTACATACCCACTTACCTGACTTATTCCAATCTTGTGTATAAAAATTATGCATATGTGGCTATGAGTAAGGCAATTATAACCTTGTACATGCATCTTAATTATGATAATATGAGAATTTTTCATCTATAGCTAGAAGTTTAGATAGCCTTCTAAAGGATATGTTGAATTTGGCATGTTGTTTGCTGAACTGAAATTTGTATAATTAATTATCTAGCGTTGCTTTGTATTTTCAAATGAATGCATATTGTGACCTATATAGCATATGAAAAAGACTGTAATTATGTAATTATGCAGGGGAAGCCAATGGAGTATCTCTAGACCACCTGTGTTATTACTATTCAACAAAAATTTTGTTGGAAAAAATATATCTATTCCAGAATAAATATATTTAGACACGTTCACTATTAGCTATGTTCTAAAATGGGTACCGATCCTCATCTCTTACCCTGTAATGGTCAAGGTTGTCTTCTGGAGTTGGGAGGCCCATGTAACGTTCTGTGTACACCGAGTCTGTGATGGAAAGGAAAGAGAGGGGAAAAAATCATATAATTAAAATTTTTTGGTTACTTTAATTTTTTGTCTTGTCTCCTGTATAAGTATATAGTGCTCTGCTCAGGAGGCTATCCCGATTAATGTTACTTGACTTGCAGAAAACCAAATGGGAAGTGCTAAGAAGATTTATATTATTACCTGATCCCGTGTAGAAGAATTTTAGTTAGCCCATGTGGGCTAAATGATGGTTGGTTGAGGGCATTGCAATGAATGAATTAAAGTGCACAAAAGGTTAAATGTAAACATTCCCCACCTGTTCTGCAAACCTGCACCCGAATCACAATGAAACCCAAAGCACACGCTCACTGCCATCCAGTCACTGCGTTATTCTACTCGCGGAACACTGAATGTCTCCATCCTCCTGGTTTTGTTACCTCCTGAATGGAAGTATGACTCTCAAGTTCTTTTATTTCTGGAAAACTCAAATGTTGCCCAGTTATTATTTACTTCTCTAAATAATATTTTACATGATTGGCAGATTGGAATTGAATATAATGGAAGAATTCCGTTATCATGTGTTTGACGTACACCGTATGTCAACTCAACTACTCCATCTTAATGCAACTTTTGTTTCTCTCTCTCATTTTTGTGGAGGGACACAAATTTTGGTGTTATAGTGGTTGAGTATTGTGAGACAGTTTATATGAACACCTGTCTGCTGGAATGACATACCCTTTTATAATCTTTTATATATTGACACAGGCTGAAAAACTGGTTTGCTTATATTAGGATAATCATACTTTTTACCATATTTTAACATAATTAAATCGTGTTTGTGTGTGTATGCTTTTAAACATCATTGAAAAAGTTACTGCGATTGAATTTCAATATAGCTTTAAAAAATCCTAGTTAACTACTTTATTTATTTATTTTTAGTTCGAGGTCTGTCCACTGACCCTTATGTATGTTTTCCGATCAAGTCTGTTGAGGTGCCAGGCCCTGTCCCCTGAGTCAGAAGTCTGTTTTCAGGGTTCCCAGGGACTCGGTTACTTTGCTCCCCTCGCTGTCCTGTTGCATTCCCTTTGCATCTCGCCCCGCAGTACATGGGGCAGACTGAGCACACTTCCCACACAGTGTCTCCAGATAGTTAGCTACTGTAAAAGATGCCCTATTAGAGGACTAGATTGTAAGAAATAAGTGAGTATAAGAATGGTATACTGCCACTGTGCTATGTCGGTCAATGGCTGAAATTTCACTCTAATGGTACCACGATTTCAATCATATTTTTAATTTAATCTTAACTTCAGCTACAAATAATATTCTAACTCGTTTTAGATGACTAGCTTTATAGAATAAAAACTACATTAATGTAAGGATTGGTTGTTATATATATAATCCCCATGTAATTTCGATGAAAATAAAAATATTTTCCCCTGGAAGCAGAACATTATTTTATTCTTTTTATTAAAATTAATTACATATAATACTATATATGCAGAGGGAACTAAGCTTTAAAATATCAGATCTGCATAAAGTATTCATTTTTTAAACCTTAACTGTCAAATATTAATATCAAATGCATTTGCTAGGGAAAAATGGCTTTTAATGATAAAATTCAACTTTCCCCAAACAGGTGCATATTTCAGATTTACTTGTCGAAAGATCTACTTTCATAGAACAGAGGACCCCTTTCTTAATTACGCTAACAGATTTGCATGTTTAAGACTTTGGAAATTGAAAACAATAGAATTCAGTTGCCAACTTTTAGAATTGTGCCCTGAATACCATGTATGTAGTCTTCTTTAGAGTAAATTGTTAAAATATACACACGTATAAGAACTCTAGGAAATCTCCTATATTTTAAGTGATCCATATATATTAAATGTGATTCTTCAAACTTACAGTGTTTCTATTATTTTATTGACCACCAGAGGTCTCCCAAAACAAGCCAACTAATAGAATAACTATCAAGCAGAAAAATATATGAACACCCACACACAAAAAATCTTGTGTAGGATCTACATGTGACCTCCTCCTGGGGGCAGGGGGGGACGGACAACAGGAAAGTGGGTGAAGGGAGACGTCGGACAGGGCAAGATATGACAAAATAACAATTTATAAATTATCAAGGGCTCATGAGGGAGTGGGAACAGGGAGGGAGGGCAAAAATGAGGACCTGATGCCAGGGGCTTAAGTGGAGAGCAAATGTTTTGAGAATGATGAGGGCAATGAATGTACAAATGTGCTTTACACAACTGA